TCCAAGCAGTTTTTCGCTTGTTTCGGGTCATTTATCACTTATCTCCAGGCAAACATTTTTTATTTCCCTCTACCCGTCCTCTTGGTTCCAGCTGGTGTCTTTAAAGATTGCTGTGCACATGCCTGTCTCTGATACAGAGGCAGGCTGATGGATTTACTGACAGAAGTTTGCACATGATAGGGTAACACAGGGCTACAATCCCAGGATCTTCAACAGCCTGCAGGAATGGGCTGAGAGAAACCTTATGAGGCAAGGGCTGATGTGAGTCTGGCATCTGGAGCAGCATCCCTGTGCAACACTGTGAGCTAGAGAGCAGAAGTGCAAGCAGCATCCTGGGAAAAGGTGGCAGGAGCATCTTCAGTCAAAAGAAAAGAATGGGATGTCAGGCATCTTATTGCTGTCTCAACTACCTTCCATGAGGTAGAGTGAATAAACCCAGATTCTTCTTACTCTTGGGACAAAGGGACAAAATAACAAGCAATGAACAGAAGTTGCAGCTAGGGTAGTTCTGATCAAGGCTGTGACAAAGTTGGCCATCTTTTCAAGTCAGGGGCTTAGGTTGGACTGGTTTCCTTCCAACTGAAATTATTCAAAGAGTGTTTATGAGTTTCAGATCATTTCATATCAAGAAGTGTAATGGAAGCTCATAGGTTGTGAATTCCTTATGTGCAGTGACTTCTGCATTTGAGAGTGCTGTTTGGGAGAGGTTGATCTTGTTCATTAAAACCACACAAATGCCATCTTGTGCTTCTGTGACTAACTAAAATTTCTTTCTTAACAGGGTTCACACCCCTTTTAGCACTTCGGGTTAATTAAGTAGCTGTTAACCTAATGGAAGCAGCCAGAGTAGGTAATTGAAGACATCTTGAAATAAATTAGATAAATAGTAGCTGAAGCAGCTTCAGGCTTTAAAGCACAGAGGAAAATCAGTTTAAAAATCGTAGAATGGTTTGAGTTAGAAGGGACTTTAAAGATCATTTAGCTCCAGCCCCTCTGCTGTTGTCACGGACACCTTCTACAAGAGCAGGTTACTCAAAGCCCCATCCACACTGACCTTGAGCAGTTCCAGGTATGAGGCTTCTGACTGCAAAACTCCCTGAATGTACATTTTTATGGACCAAACTGTATTTTAGGAAAGATTAGAAGAAAATATTTTGAATACTGTTGCAGCAAACCCCACACTCTTTCTTAGAATGTGTTTGCTGTATTCTTACTTGATTTCTGTTGGATTTATGGAAACCATGCTAATGTATTTTTAACTGAGCACATAATTCCTGAAGTATTTTCAGGAGAAATCATTAACTCATTTCACTAAAAGTGTATGCTGCAGTACTTCAGTTTTGCATCACAGATTTGGTGCCTTTGCAATTTTTTTTAGTACCACTTATTTTCAAAGTGGAGATATTTTTTTTAATTTAATCAATTTTTATAATAATATATCTGGTTTCCATAATTGATAAAAAAAATCAATAAGTTATTTCAAGCACAGGTCTGCAGATCCTCTTTTAATAAAAGCTGGGCATATGCAGAAGGCTGTGTATCGAGTGAGCTGTAAAATATTTAAATCATGGATTGCAGGAGATGTAGTTGTTGCCAATTTCAGTAGACTGCTTTTCTTAACCACCACTAGTGTAGTTAATTTTCAATTTCTCAAGATACATAATTCTTTTAGATATTCTAAAATCCATTATAGAGTCAAATATTAATTATATTTCTAGCTCCATCCCTGTTCATTTTAACCGCAACCACAAAGAATATTTCTCAGCTGGTAATTTAGCTAAATTGCATGTAACTCTTGGATATCAAGGGCAGTTCATGCCCTGCCTCTCTCCTTCTCCGTCCTTCTTTTTTGCAGACTTCAGAAAAAATCAGTAATTACCTGAGATTTAGTACAGTGATGTCTGTGTCACAGATTTGCTGGGCTTTATTTTGCATTTTCTGGCTTTAATAAACTAGATGAAGATTGTCGTGATGTGGTTAAAGGCTGTAAAATGCCCATTTGTCTCATATCGAAAAATATGACCCACTTCTCAAATATGTTATTGCTGACAGAATATATAGTTCTTTATTATAATATTACTAGCTCTTGAGACTAATTAATGAAGTCTGAAATGCATGTGATTGATTTTGTTGAGCCAAATTGATTTGAAATATATAATTAGCCCCTTTGTTGAAATATGTGTATTATAGTTCCATGACTGATTTTTTGGTCAGTGAATCACAGCCTTATGTCTCTTCCTCATATTTAAACACTTCAGATTATGATAATTCTTGTATTTAAAGCTATTCTGAGAATAAATATCTAATTCATGCTTAGAGTTTTAATAACTGCGCCTGCTTTATGGTTTGCTAAGTTATTTTTATTCAGCTCTCTCTTTAAAATGTAACTTTATAATTTATGGTTTATCTCAATTACCAGTTAAGTAAAATTATATGCATGGTATTCTTAAGATCATGGAATGCAAAATGACAAAAAGTTTGGTTTAGTTTGTAGAAGCTGTAATTGCTGGGAATACAGTATTCAATTTTACAAATTCACAATTCTTTCTCTAGAACTGACATCACTTGTAGATTGAATGCTTCTAAAAATTATTTTCAGACATTTTGGATATGTCTCACTCTAAAGCAATAAATTTTAGGAAGATAGAACATTACTAGTATATTTCTATTTTGGAAAACATTTGCTTTAAACTTTGTCATTACTTGGAGGCTTTTATTCATATGTCATCTCACAGCTTCAGGTATCACTGAGTAACTTCATTTTTACATGTGATTCAAGCCTTGAAAATCACATCACTGTGAACTGTAAGTGACTTAGGCATGAGAAGAAAAATTCAATTAATAAGACTTCATATTTCTACATCCTACCTAATTTTGTTTGTCTATATGAAAATATTACTGCATTACAGTCTAATGTGTCAAAAAACATTTCTAATTTATCAGGAATTACCAGGCTTCGGATGCATTATATGTTGTCTATTCTAAGTTTTCAGGGTAAAAACATGATGGTATGAAGTATTTTGAGTCTTGTATTTTCCAAGGAAGGTGAATTACAAGGCAGAGGGCCAGAGGGAATTCACTATTTGCATCACTTTGGTTTCATAACTTTACACATTGAGGATCTCCCTCACGTATTTACGAATGTGGTGCTCTCTCTACTAGGTGTAAGTAATACACTCATGCATATTTTTGCTTAAAATGTTTTTTTTAAATACAATTTTTTTCCATATTTACTTTTAATTTGTTTTTACATTGGAGGAGACAAACAAGTTAGCAGATATGAGTTACATCCTTCTTTCTTCCTTCAGTAATTTCAAAAGTTCATTGTTCCTCCCAGTTGAGTCTGAAAACATGACTGGTTTAGTCTTTGTAATGCTTGGCTCTAAAATCAAAATTTAGAGGAAACAGGATCTGTCTGTGAGTCAGTATGCAGAACAGATGAAGTGTAGGGGCCATGAAGAAACAATCATTTTCTTTCAGCCCAAGGTCTTTATCATTACTGAGAACTAATGTCGTATTTTGCAATGGTGGGATATGAGTGCCAGACTGTGATCTGTTTTGATCAAGATTAAAATGTTGATGTTACTGCCTTGTTTCTCTTATAGTTTCTGGTGTATTTGCTATTGATATTTTTAAGCTAAGACACTTTCTTGCAGATTATTTTCAGAGTGCCTTGTGTCATTATTTCAAATGGAGTCACTCATTCTCACCTTTCTTACCCTTTTGGAAGTAATTAGTAGTTTGGGTATTTTGATGATGTTGAAATAATCTCCAAATTGCAGTCCTTTCTGTAGTGCCTGACTTCATAGAATCTGAAAAATTATTTGTCATTGGAAATGGACCCAGGGTCATCCACTGTTGGGAAGTTGGCTTACACATGGATGACAAATCCCAAGGGATTTTAACAGTGATAGGCAGTGTGAATGAAAAGAAATTTTTATTGCATGGGATATAATGCACATTTCTGCCTCTCATTCAAATAATAAATTAAATTCATCATTTGAGCCAAATGTTGTGGAAACAAGTAATTTACTATATCCAGTATCTCAGTGTCACCTTACTGTGCCTTTCAGCTCTACATAATACTTCTTTCATCTGTAATTACCTAATTATCTTTCTAGCCTTCTAAGAAAATAATTCTTCAGCTTGACATCTTTAAATTGTGCTTTTGTTCAGTAGTTCATAGTCTGTTGGTACTATGTAATGGATGTTTATGATTAGTTCTGGAGATAGCAGCATATCTAAATATGGTTATGCCACTGTGCTAAAAAAAAAAAAAGGGGGGGTTACAATCCAAACCAATTCTGAGTTCTAGCTGCTGAAAGCAAGACGGAGAAGCATTCTTGTAAGTCTCAGCCAAGAAAGAGGCACTTCCCTTGTGTTTTGTTAAGCCAAGGAAGTGTGCACCCAGTGTTCCACAGTAGCTAACAGTGGAGAAAATGTTCCTTAGCAACAGAAGTTCATGAAATAAAAGACAGATTTAAATGCAGCTTAAAATTAAGGAAATAGCGTCTGTCGGATTTTAAAATGTGGAAATAGATTCTGTTTTCTAGATGGGAGGAAGACAAAAATAAAGCTCAGAAATGGAAGATAACTTCTAAGTCAGGGTGGGAAGGAGTTACTCTGCTGCATGCTATAAGCTGCCATAAGTGTGCTGTGCTCTTACTGTGCATCCATAACAGTCTGGTCTTCTGTAGCCTTCTGGTAAATACATGGCTCTAAAGGGAATGGAAGTGATTATACTTTACTGAAACATGAAGGTTTGTAATGGTGCCTTCTATTTTGCTCCTCCTGTCATGTGACCAGACCTGTCATGGTCTGATCACTGCTACTCCTGCACACAGTGCCCTTGTGACAAATCTCATCCACAGAACACATCTGAAACAATCAAAACTACACATCTCTGGAGAAAAAGGCTACCCTTCTTACTAGAAATGGCTAAAACCCTGGAACTTCAGTAAACAGAAGGAGTAATGTTTCTTCACTGATGTTTTGTATAGGTTTGTAATTGGACGAGAAAAACCGGGACAAGTGAGTGAGGTTGCGCAGCTGATTAGCCAAACTCTAGAGCAAGAGCGACGCCAGAGAGAGCTGCTGGAGCAGCATTATGCACAGTATGATGCAGATGATGATGAGGTAACACACTGTCCAGTGTTTCACTATTTGGTGGTTTTTAATGTTCTGTTTTCTCTTCTTTTTACTTGCCACTCAGAGGTCAACTTTTGGATCTTTCCATTACCCTTGCTGATGATTTTTACAGATTTTGATGGTGACTCTTGATTGAAGAACAAATTTATAGAAAAACTTTTCATCATGGATTTAAAGTACTTGTTTTGTTCCAGAAGAGCAAATACCAAGTTGGTTGATGCTTCTGTAAGCATTTCTCTTCCTTGAAAGCATATACGTTTCTGAAATAAGAGGGTAAAGTTTGTTCGGTTGTGCACTGAAATGTTAAAGTTTCAGAAAACTGGTAAAAGTTGCCCTCTAATTTTTAGAGGGGTTGAGGAAATTGTTTGGGTTTTTTTTCTAGAAGAATTTATATTCTTCTTAAGTCAAAATGTTTTCTGAAATTCTGGATGAGACTCCTCCTTCCACACACTATGCTTTTGCTTCTGTGTGAACAGATATTCCTCAGTATAGAGAATTAGACTGCCTTGTCTGAAGTGTATATTGATGCTTACAATTAGTGCCTGATGTCCCAGTATAAAAGTTTTGAAAGTAACAACTTGGTGCAGTAAAATTTCCATAATTTCTTTCCATTCTCATAAAATTCCTAGTATGCCTAAATGCCAAGATACTTGGAAAGATTACTTTGAGAGTTTTTTTAGAGACTACTGCTGTTTGTGTTACTCCCTAAATTAACTGCTGGGTTTTGTAACAAACTGCTTCCATATAGCCCAAGCACACTGTCATCATTTCACATCATCTTAAGTAATATTATTTTAAATGCTAAGACTTCATGTATTAGTGTGTTTTCATCCCAGACCAGCTTTTTTGTGTGTGTGTGTGAGGGAACAGTAGAGAAGGGGAGATAGAGAATTCATGGTACTCATTTATTTCAGGTTAGTTTTACTTTTTAGAGAAAAAATACTCTTGACATAAAATCAGGATATACTAAGATTTTGAAAAATGGTGTTAAAATACCAATATGTCAGAACAATCAGAAGTGTCCCAACAGACTAAGTAAAAATCCTGTCTAGCCCCAGTAATGCTCTCACTTGCTGTAATTTCCACTCATATTATGAATAAAAATATTTCAATGTCTTAGAATTATTCCTGTCACAGGGACATATGTAAGTCATAAATAAGCTATATATACATGCATATGTAGGTATGCCTGTGGGAGACCATGAAGGATAGAAAAACCCATATCCTCTCTGTTCCCTTCTCAAACTAGAGAAACATGCAAGTCTTCTAACTTCTCTTTAGTCTAGAATTAAATTCAAGAGAAGTTTCTTGAAGGAGCTGTCTTAAAAGCTCTTCAAAAACAAAATGGAGCAGCTGGCCTTTGGGAAAAGAGATTTCTCACAACTCGTCACAGTGTGCTGTAGATGTCAGGGTTCCAAGACCTTTAGTACTATTTGTGGTGAGCATAGTCTGATCACTTTCATATAGGCAAGAGAGCTGTGTCCTAAATGCCTGATGATCAAATCTTTCTCACTGCCTACTTGCATGTGTGGCTGACCTGTGTGAGTGATTGATGCATTGCACCTTTTATCTGTGGGACACATCCACCTGCAAAAAATATCAAATGTTTGTGTTTCTTATCTTCACACACCACACAAGTGGCATTACTCAAAGATCTGGCAATAAAGAAAATGTGGTTAAATTCATATTGATCAATACTGATCCTGGTAGTACTTCAGCCTTCAGTAGGGATTGTTGCTGTGAAGGTGCTGATGGTGACACTGTCACACTGATGGCCATGCAAGTGTTTCTCAGTACAGTACTGAAAGAGGACAGGCATGAGTAGGTATGAGTAGGTATCAGGTACTTTTTGTGATGTGTCTTGTCCTTGCAATTTGATGGTTACAAACTCTTAAGTCCTGTTCACTGCATAAATTTTTCACAAAAGATACTAAATTCCTAAAGTATTTTTTCTTGGTAGTGCCTTTGGATCATAGAGAGAAAATAAAATTGAACAAGTTTTCCCCAGATTTTTCCATAATTAGGAGAGGTAAAGGTATCTTTTCTTATTCTAGCACTACACTGAGGATGGTGACCATCTCTGTGACTATGACATGATTTTTGGCAATGGCCTTTGGAGTGCAGAAGAGAGTTTTGTGTTGAATATGAGGAAAGGAGAAAGAAAGGAAAAGAGCTCCAGGGGAGATCCAGATGATCTCATCAGTTATATCTTTTGGAAGGAGAAGGAATTAGGCCTGAAAACAAATGCAGTTCTTAAAAACTACATTGGGATCATTGAAGGTCATACCTATTTCCTACTTGATGCCATATATATATTTGGGGCATGGATGGTAAACATTTTCAGAATAAATGCTGGGGTTTAGTTACTAAGGTATGCAGTGTAGTGTGTTCCATTTCTTAATTAAGAGACTTACCAGAAATAGATTTTATTGAATACCTGCAGTAATCTTGAACATTACTATTTTTTAGTCACCTGGCTGTGCCATCCAGGTCTAGTCACATAATTTGCACCATTCCGAGACAAGTGCCACAATGTAAACTGTGATCTAATGCACATTAGCCACAGTCCAAAGACATTTTTGGTCACCACAAGCACTTCTGCTCCATTTACTGTCGAATACTTCTTTGAGCTTACCTTGCCCTGTTGGACAAGTCTGGCTGGGTTTATGTTGTTGCCAGACACCACCACCAGCCCTGCATTCTTTGGCTCTGGTAAGCTGAGCACCTTTTGGGCAAGAAAATCTCAGTTTGCAGTGGCTGAATTGAGTATCTACAAGCGTACAAAAGCCACTACTACCCTTTCAAGTCCATTTCATCAAAGGAATAGTGACTGACAGCATGGAGTTCAGGAGTATTTGGATTTCCAGTGTAAGTAGTTTGGCATTGAAGCAGCACAGAATTATACACAAGTTGCTCAGTCTCAGTGCTGTCAAGCCAAACTGCTCATTTTCCTACACCATTTAAAATACAGTAACATGGATCTCCAGGTAGAGTGCTGCATGAATAAACAAGAAAATGGTCTTGAGACTGCCAAATTCTGAGGCTCAGAGGCTTTACCACAAGGACAGCAATAACATTTTAAGTTTTCCAGAGCAGGAAGTCAGTGATCTTGTTGGAGTCCTGGAGTCATGGCACACGACTTGTGTTTGTTAGAGCTGGTTAAATCACAGGAAGAGAACGTGTGCCAGACATGTGCAAGTTCTGGTTTTATCTTGCTGTGTCACCAGCTGGCTGGATTTCCTCTGTTTTGGAACTTCTGACAGTCTTCATAGCCCAAGGAGTATGTAGGTATTTTAGAAGGATCCAAGTTCTTTTAAAAAGCAGTATTCTGAGACAGTTTTGATTTCTGCCAGCTAGTGGGCAGTGGACTTGAGTTAGATACTAAATTTAGAGATGCAGTGTTAGCCTACTACCTTCTCATTCCATTGCCTTGCAGGAATGTTGCCTGAGAGCTATTTGTTGGGGAAGATTTACACGAATACATAGTGTTTCTAAAACATATATCATTTACTGTGTAAGTAATACTGAAAACTCATCATTTACTATATAAATGCCCTACATCTCTGCATTTCAGAATCTGCTTTTACCATGGGCTGCATCACAGGGTTGCAGGATGCTTTCAGATGCTCCTTCATTTAAGTTTTTGAGTGGAAACGTAAAGCCCTTGTGCAGAACTGATGAACATTAAAAGAAAATGGATGTTCAGAGTGGAGCCCATGCAAAGACTAGCAGGATAAGTGTGCATCAGCTCACAGTTTGTTGTTAAGCTCCCACAAGCCAAGCACTTGAGCCAGTAGTATCAGCTGTTTCTCAAGTGTTACATACAATTGCAGCACTGGCATTTCCTAGTGAGTCTGCTAATCACAGTAAAGCTGGGAGAGTGTGTTGCCTCAAGATAGCCTGCTGCAGTTTGCTCATCACCAGTTTGTCTAGCTTCCTAAAATCCCACACCCTTTTAATTTGTAGCATTCAGTCAGAAAATAAAACTCAAAGGCTTTGAAGTAGGCACTGTGTTTGTATTTCCTACTTAGTGTGCCAAGTATGACCTGAATCTGTATCCTTGACTGAAACCTTTTGAATTCCCTGTGTTAACATAGTGTTCTGTGCACATGAGTCAGATTCTGACATTTCTTGGAATTTTGATTTGAACTTGGTATTATCTTCTTCATGTTCTATAGCAAATGACAAAAGTCACATAAAGCAGATGACCTGTTCCCCAGAAGGCTGCATGGGGTGATGCAAAATGTGAAATGAATAATATATTTCAGGATTCTGTTCACTCTGTGGCCGTAGAAAAGTAGCTTAACGCAAGTGATGTTTAATCTGTTTTAATATCACTGTCAAATGAATATTTTTTTTAATTTTAAATTCTCATTCATCAGGACGTGCTGAGAGCAAAGCAATATTTAATACCATTGAAGAAAATCTTGGCACACACACACAAAAAAAAAAAAAAGTGGCAATGTACTTGAATGTCTAACGCCCAAAGAGTGCATTTGCTAAAAAAAAAAATCTTTCAGAGAGTACATTTTTTCCAACATCATTAATATGATGCACTCCTGTAAGAGCAATGATTAATACTATACCATTGTGTTTTTCTTCAGTCTTTTGAACGAATTAAATGTAAGCCATCAAAGAAAAAAATCACACGAAGACATGGACTTGAGTTGTTTTTATAGTTCTTCAAATAGTGTTCCCTGATTGTGGGAGAGTTTCAACCAGAACAAAAGGTGTAGCTTGAAGCAGCCTTTGTTATGGTGATTTGAGGAAGGTCTGTCTGCATTATCCTTGCTGGTGCTTCAGCTCCTTCATTTTGGTGGGGAGTGTTAGTCACATTTCAGAAATTTACTGTTAAGGCAGTTAAACAGTGCAAATAACACATTTTCCCTTTAAAAGTGGAAAATTGCAGCTCATGTTGATAATCTCATGCTATTAACGGTGATAGCATAGAGCAAAATGGAATGGCTAATACCAGAAGCCATTGTTTTGGATGGGACAAGCTTAAGCCCTAGGTGCTATTGAAATGAGAAACAGGGCTTTTATGTGGATGAATTCTGCTCACCAACACAGAATGAAGAGTCTGAGATTTTCCTGCAAGAACATGTAAGTTTTCATTGACTGTGGAGTAAAAAATATTATTGCTGTTGCCAGCTAAGGAAACAAAATGTATTGCAGGGAACCTCCCTGAGTTACAATGACAACTCTTACCTCGCAGGGCTTTGTTATTTGAAGTAATACAATTTTTTTTCTGTGCCTTGCTGCTCCTTGTAAAATAGTGACTTTCACATCCCAGCTAACTGGCACAGTGTATGAACAAATACCTTCTGGTAGTTTCATGTGGTACAAAATTCAGCAGAGATAATTTTTTTCAGGGAATGTATGTTTCATGTAGTTCATGATGTATATTTCCTCAATATAAACATTGGTTCTTTTGAACCTGTAATTTGTTTTTCATGTGACTGTAAGATGAAATCCCTTTATTTTGAAGACAAAAGCAAAAATCTCATTTATTTCTGTGTTCTGTAATGTGTTCTTGTCTTCCTGGTGTCTTGTTTACTTGAGATACACTTTGCTTTGACAGCTGCTTTTTTTCATTAATTGAAACAAAAATGACTGTGCTCATTGACGCTCATTATGTACAATTTGAAGAAAGATTTTCCTTTGTGTTCATTTTTAGCTTCCTGATGTTCCTCTTCAAACACTGGCTCCTGAGGCCAGTGGAATATTGTCTGCTCTCTAATTTTTCCCCCATAATTTACTCCTTCATGTGTGTTCATTTTTGTTTTTGCATTCAGTACTTCTTCTTAGCTTAAGTCTTTGGAGAAATCAGTTTTAACTAAATTTATATGTTTTATTCCTTGACAAAATTGGTAAATGTAATTGGGATTTTGTGTTAAAATACTCCTTTCAAATGCACATGTAGCTGAGCCATATCTGTTTGGTTTTACATAAGCGAGGCATGAGTTTACTGGTTAATGATCCTGTTTCTGCTTCCTCTTTGCATGCTTCAGAGATTTCCTTGCCACTGCTGATGGACCTGCCAGGATTTTTTTTAATGCTGAAATTACGGTTGTGTATTACATTATTTGTTTCAGCGATAATGACTGCAAAATTGAAAGTACATGGACTGTTAGTATTTTGTCCCCACAAAAGTTAATTTCTCTGAAATCTCAGTGGGATTTTAAGAGTTAGTCTTTCTGCTTCTGATTGCTCTAGTGGTATGTGAAGGGTGTGTTACATGCTCCTGGAAAGAGCCAGGAGAGTTAGTAGCCCCATTTTCAGTTCAGACAGCTACTGCACATAGCCAGGGACAATAAAATAGAAACAGAAGTTACTACAGGTGTAGCGTAACAGAAGATTTTTTGTGTGCATGCATGAAATCTAGACATACAGATTGACAATTTCAGGGGTTTAGTTTGGCTGTAATGCTTACATGCCTGAAAAATCCAATGAGATGGACTGTGTATTCTTTGCTTCTCTTAAATAAGGAAAGAAGAAGCAAAATCAGCTGTTAGCTTTTTTTATAGAAGACTATTGAGATTCTTAGGCATATATGCTTAGTAGGTATGAAGTATATAAAATAAATGGTTACTGTTTATTTCATTGGCAAGTATGTTACTACTTATAGAGGCAGCAATAACTCACCAAAAATGTGCCTTGCTTTACAGTGACTATTTTAAAGTATGGGTATGCATGTTGGTGACTTACCTTCGTTTTAGTTCTTTCAGCATCATAAAATTTTACAAACTATTTTATGCTTTCTATGTGTTTTGGCTTTGATTTTTAAAACTTTAGTGGTTTAAAAAAAAAGAAGAATGTAGGTTTTCATGATCTTTAAAGGTTCATTTTAACCCAGACTGTTCTGTGATTCTATGTCTGTGTGTACCTGTGCACCTAGAATCAGTATCTTGCATGCACTGCTTTTTAGTTGAAAGAGATCAGTCTAAACAACAGCTGAGAAACTGAATTAAGGTGGAAAGCTGAGGTTTTAACTGTTGTTCCTACATCTGAGTTCTTACCTCTTGTTTTGAGAAGTCCTTTTGTCAAAAAATGACATTAGTAAACAATTTTAGCACTATGAGGAATATACTTCTGATAATAATATGTTTCATCTCGGGAACTGAAAACTCGTGAAGAAGAACTTTGAATAGTTTTATCAAAATTTTGGTGGTGTTACTGTATAAGCATGAAAAACTGCACTGATTCCCCCGCCCTTCCTTTTCCATGTATTTATTTAGTCCCAAACCTTACAAATCCAGATGTGGTCCTGAGGGAAGTGTTGGCTTTGGAATGTTGTTTGCACAGTCATCTGCACAGCCAGCAGGCTGCTTGTGATCTGTACACGCTGTACTGCAGCTTCCAGAGGGAGCCCTGCAGAAGCAAGGTGGTACCATTCACCTTAGGGATGGGGAGAGATGAGCACAGATGTGTGCAAAACACTGAGTAGGCAGCTTGGGGTTCAATATTGCAAGCTTTTTCTTTTCAATATTATTGTTTTGTTTTATTTTGTTTGTTCTTGAGATACTGATTGCAGCTTATGATTTTTTCAAAATTCTGTTTTGTCAGCAAGTTGTTTGCATCTCATGGTTTACCAGCCCAAGAAACACCCACATTTTTCTGTTCAAAACTAGTTCAAAGCAGCTTTTCAGGGTGAAAATTGAGTAAACTCTGGTTTCAGAGTCTGAACTTGTCTCTGACACTCGGTTTCTTTTTCCTACTGTTGTCTTTCTGCGTGGGTGTGACTTTTCTATCGTTAATTTGTTTATAAAGAACAAACCAATGAATTTTCAAATTCAGCATGGAATATCACTGGAGAATTACTTCATCCAGATGACTTTACTAACGACTAATCAAGATCCTGTTGGTTATATTCTGCTTGTTTTTTTCTGTTTGGAAAAGATGCCTTGTTAAATCTGAAATACATTTGGAGAGTTCTTCCAATGGAAAAGAGGTCTCACTTAGAAAAGGATGAAACCATCAAAATACAGAGCCAGTGATGCTTGAGAACTGAGTTATTAGTGCTTAAGACACTGTTTTGTCTTCTCTCTTAATGTACTGAAATACTACTGTGGAGTTGTATTTTGTCTGGTAGAATTCATCAGTACTGGGGTTATAGCTAAAGACAAAGGTAACCTTTTTTGTATGCAGAATGCTGTGGTAGCACAGTGTCTTAATTGCTCTTTGAATAGTCTCTGCATAATAAGAGGATAACTGGAGTTTCTTAAATGCTATAAAATTAAGACAGGGGAATATGCTACAGATGAAGAAGATGAAGACATGGGACCTGTCCTTCCAGGAGGTGACATGGCTATTGAAGTGTTCGATCTCCCTGAAAATGATGACATGTTCTCCCCCAGTGATGTGGACACCAGCAAACTTGCTCACAAATTCAAAGAAGTAAGTTAAATATCAGAAAATATCCACTGAACCCAGTTTTTAGTTATCTCAGTGCTCAGTGCTTAGGGTTTTTCTCTTGAAAACTGGAGTGGTTTTTAGCTTTTTGTATGCTTTGTACTTTGGAATTATTTAAAAATTTTGAAAGAGCTGTCCTTTGGAGATATTTTTGGCATCAGCTTTCAGGTGACTACTGTATTGATGAGGACAGTTTATAAATTAACTTTTTCAATATAGAAATTACTGTGCCTCAGCACTTAGTTTTACCACATAGACAAAATGCAAGTTAATTCATCATTAGCAGAGTGCTGGGGTTTGGGATTGTTTTTTCATTGTTTGTTTGTTTGTTTGCTTGTTTTTGGTTTGCTTTGGTTTTGTAAGATTCCAATAAAAGATGATGGGGAAAAGCAAAACAACAAATGTTAAATTTCAGTGAAGAGAGACATGTGAAACTCATCCTGTACCCACTGCACAGTAACTCATCAGTGTACAGTGTACATGTGTTTGTCCATGTGTTTAGAAAGATGCTCTATTGGGGAAGCAGCCATACTTCAAGATGGCACTTTACCAAGGTTTTATCAAAAGGTTATGGCTGGGGAGTATAGCATCTACCTGTACTGTGATGTTCACTGTGGTCATTCAATTAATGTAATTTCACATACCGAAGTGCAGAGGTACATTTCTTCTGTATTTTAGGCTGTGTGTTTGATGTGGCTTCTTTTAAGGCTTTCCTGAATTCTCATGCAAATAAAAATATGAAACAATGGATGTACTTAAACTTACAGTAATGGGCTGAGTGATGGGAGTAAAGAACTTTTTTTTTAAACACGGGAAGATTTTCAACACAGGAAGTGTTGAAAGTAGCCAGAACCTCACAGGAGATCTAAGCAACAGAACCTAGGCCCAGATAGGAGTTTTAAAATACCAGGACTCCCTTTTTATTCTTCTCCACTTATCATCTTGCCTTCACTCAAACCAGATATTTTATCTTGTATAAGTATATTGTTACTACCCTTTAGTGAGAGTCATGTGTGGAAAGTAACCAATCTTTCCCTTTTCTGCTGATAGCCCTCACAGCTGTTGGGTGCCTACTGTTATTCATTGTTAGTTCCTGAAAATTTTTTACATTATTTAAGTTATCATTTTCTCACTCCATATCTTGAGTTTCGGGCTCTTATATGAATTAGCAGAACATTTTACTTGATTTTCTAATACTTTGCATCATACATAGAAATATAGTCTCAAAGCAGTGGGAAGATGCTACCATTCTCTCTGTGCCAGCAAGTTTTCCAAGGCTGTGCAAAACACAGATGCAGTGATGGGCAGGAAACTCACCTTTGAATAAATACTTTTAAATCTGTGCTTGAATACAGTTTCCATAAACTCAGGCTATTGCCATACTCGAGCTTGTCCAAACTAATTTGAAGTTATTTCCACACCTGTCTTCTGTCATGGCCTTAAAACGCTGTTTTAGAGACCAGATGAAGGTCCTTTGGGATCCTGGAGTGTAAGTGTAGATGAGAGCCTAAGGAGAAAACATGGAATGCTCCTCCTGCCTAAGAGTGGACTCTTTCAGCAGCCCACACAGTTACTGCTGATATGAGCACACCACTTTTGTTTCACTGATTGTCTTTAAGAGTACACAGCTGCATTTTGTTGGCTGATGCTGAGTGAGTACATGTATTTTTCTTGGTATTTGCCCTGAATTCTTTCAACACTAGAGGACTTGTTCATGGTCACACTGCACAAGCCCACACAGTGTTTTCTGGAATCGCATTTAAAGAATAACTGTTCTTTCTTGTTCTTACTCCAGAGATTAATGAAAGTATTAGGCAAGTGGGTAGGACATAATCTTTAAGCATAATAGTTTGACCTAATTAGTCGAATTCAGTCTTTGCAACAAAAAATGTGTTCCCGTACTCTGAGAGCACTCTTATTTAAAATGCCTTGCTTTTGGAATGAAAGTCAGACGAGAGATGGACATTGCTGGGTATTCACCACTGTAATTCTGAAAGTCTTGTTTTCCTGGCTGTAAAGCAGGAAAGATAGGACTGATTTTTCTTAACTGCTTTGAGAGAAAGAGCTAGGAACTTTATTTTAGCTGTGATGATTGAAGAGAGACAAGATCTGTAGGGAGAAGGGACGTTTATGTAAGAATTCATTACTTCATGTTATAATGAAATATATCAAGAATGGATGATTATTATATGCAAAAAATATATAATGATATTACGTAAAAACTGTCATGATGATTATTAGGTTCTATTGCATACTTTCCTTCCCAGTGTACTCCTGATATTTTAACATTTGCTAGACTTTCATCCCATTCTACCTTTTGCAGTCTTTTCTCTAAAAGTTACCTTTTTTAACAAGTTTTATTGTTTTATAGAAAGTTAATCAGCTTTTCAAGACATACTTGAATAGGAAATATGCCAAAAATTACTCAAAATGTCTTTGTTAATGTGAAGCCTTCACAATTTTATATTACCCTAAAAACAAACAAAAAAAAGTACAAAACAGTATCTCCCAAGAATTTGCTTGGCATTAAACAGGACATGGAATAAAGATTTCTGATCCCCTGTTAGTAAACTTGCTTAAAAAATTTTAGCTATAGAGTCCAGAATTTCTTGCCAAATAGTTGACCTTGCCTGTTGTTTAGTCTAACCTATAAATGTGTTAGCATTTCTCATCTATTCTACAAACATAATTAGTTCTCTTTTTTTAAAAAAGTACATATCCAGCTACCTTTTTTTTTAAGCAGAAAAGTGTCTTCTTTCTTCTGCCTCAGTGGGATCTGCTGTACCATGTTCTGATTCAATGATCTGACTGGGTACTCAGTATTCATTTTTTTAAACTTAATAACAGAGAGCACAAAAATAACTGTTAAAAACCATCTGTACCTGAGCATATTGTCATTTATGCAACAATTTGGAGTTTATTTGTATATAATAATAAGCTCTTTAAGTGCACCGTATGGATTTGTGGGGTTTTAGAAGAGATGGGAGTGGACTGTTAGGAGGTAGCCCAAGGCTTTAAGTCTTGGCTTTTCAATGTCATTATAAAGTCTGAAAAGGGGAAAATCTAGCTCATCTATTATTCCCCTGATTTTATCTCATCCCAGAACAGTGTAGCAGATCTAAGCAAAGGGTTGGGCATTTTTATAAACACCATGATGTTTTGAGATAGTTCTTTAATAATTTTTCGCTATTAACAGGAATGCAGTGGGGAGAAAAAAAACAGTTCTCAATCTCTGAAAAGTGTAGATCAAAGGCTGGAATGACTGAGCTCAAAAATTGCAAGTAGCCTCTTGCAAATGCTAATTAAAATGTCTCTTTTTTCCTCTAATATTTATATAAAAAGGTGTATGTCCTTCTCAGCTTCCTGGCGTACTAGGTGCAGCAGCTTCACTGACAGCTTCTTGCCATTTCAGCAGCTGCAGGGCTCCAAGTGCCCTGTTCCCAGCTGGACTGGCACCTCTCCATCCTGAAGCAGTAGCCCTGATCCCCTGTGGCACTTCCTCAGGAGCCCCACGGTCCGTGTGTTGGTTATGTGTGTTTCTGCAAGCTGCTGTAGTCAATGCTGCTTTCGTTTCAAATGAAATCTTACATCTGCTCTCACTGAGCACATGAAGAGTCGTAACACTTTGCAGTGCAAAGTCAAAAAGGGAGTGTAAGTAGCAGATGATTGTGGGGACTAGGAGTTCTTTCAGCCTTCTCTGGAGACCGTGACTGAGAAATGGGTGTTGGAAAGAGGATTCCTAAACAGAACTGGTGAATCAGTGTCCAGCATAAATTGAGAATTCTCCACCTTAGGGGACTAGATTTATTCAGTAGGTTAATTAAGGCTGATTTGTAAACCAAACTGTATCTGAGAGTGTGCATTTCCTGCACCACGAGAAGAGGCATTCAAGACACTTCATGAAAAGGGAATTTCTAAATTAGCTTAGAATTTTTCAGGTACTTGTGCTGGTCAGCTCAGTGATAGCTCCTGTTACTTTGAAAATTATTCCTTTCTTCCAGAAGAACTTCTCCTTTGATTCATTTGCACATTTTCTTGCTAACAGCTGGTTCTTCAAGAATGCAGCCATTGCTTCAACAGAAATGTTAGTTTCTGGTTCAGTACAACAACCTCATATACTCTGTTAGCTCAGCATAAACTATTCCCAAAAGCTCATGTTTGTCTTGTAAAAGAAGTAACCTGCATGTAAAACATATTTTTCCATAACTATTCCTTCTATTCATAAATAATGGATGATGCCTTATCTCCAGTGCCGTGCTGGCTCAGGCTGTAATTCACTTTTTGCCCTTGCCCTCAGCTCTATACCCAACATACCCAAGTCTCTGATTCAGTGTAAGGTTTTGGGGTCTGTCAGTAGTTTGTCCCTGCTGCCTACTTTAAATAGTACAGCAGCAGGGATTGGGGTGCAGGCCAGTATTGAGTACCTGTGCATGGTCATTTCCATTTGGATTAGGGTTATGCTGTTGAAGCTGTGGTTCAGTTTGTTATTCAGAGTGTTCCTGGAGCCTGTGAATAGCAGACCTTTGTGATAAAACTTAAGGTGTTTCAGGACATTGCCTAATACACTCAGTAGTGACTGTTCACTCCACAGGAGCAGACTAATGTAGGTTAGTACAGAAGAAATCCCACAGCAGGTGTGCAGGTGGATGCCAGGTCCTCCACACCAACCCTTTCCCTGTGCAGATCCCCTGTTGTTATGGCTGCTTGGTGATTTAACTACAACCTTTAGCACACTGCCTGGGCTGTTAATCTGCTTGCAATCGCTTTGTTGCTTGAATGCTGTTGTTGTTATTTACAGTTTCCCTGTGTAACTGCTCTCAATTGAGATTAGCTGGCTTGAGCAGAGTAACTGCAGCTATTGGTGAAGGATAGCATCACTTTACCTTTCTTCTTGCATGAAGTAAATGTGTGGAATCTTCCCTCAAGGTTTTCCTGACTTCTTGAGTTGTTAAATCACTTATTTCCATATTTGCTTATTTGTAATGTGCCTGCTTTAATCAGTGTAGTGGGACTGTCAGCACTGGGACGTATTTCACATTCACATCAGAGGAGAGCAAAGCCCAGCAGGAAAACATCTATTTTTTTTAAAACATAAGACATTTGGTTTTACTAAACAGATTGGATGTTCTGATTTGAAATTATGAGTGGTTAGACGGCATCCTATCTTTAATTAGGTTGCACAGACTGAGTCATTTTGCAAGCTAGACATTTTAATTTACAATCTACTGCACTGCAGCACTCTTCGGGGCCTTCTGCTATGTAATAAGGTATTCAACTTGCAGCACAGGCTTTAAAAATACCGGAGTACTCTCTGTGACTTCACTTGTTTATTTTATATTTTCAATTCTAGTTGCAAATCAAACATGCAGTTACAGAAGCTGAAATTCAGAAGCTGAAGACAAAGGTAAGAATCAATATATGGTTAATACATGATGGATTTTTTCTTTATGCAAAATCAGATCTGAAGACGTATCTTTATGTGGGTGGAGAAGTCAACATCCTTAATAAAGGCTGATTAAGAAGCACAGTGGCTCAGCTAAATCTTGTCTTAGTGTATTTTCTTTGTTCCAAGTTTCAAGTAAAAATCTTAAGTGCTGCTATTAAAAGAAAGTGCCAACTTTTATAGCTTCAATTAAACATGTTTTAGGGGGTTTCATAATGACTGAATGGCAGATTGCTAGTTTTAAAATTCTGATGCATTTTTTCAGGTTTTAAAATTATATTTGGATTGAAAATTAAAGTTGAAGTTAGTAGGCTTTTTATTTACCAGTGATGTTAAAGTATCCCTACGCTATTTTCCATTATCGACCTTTTTTAAAAACTTGATTTGTTTAAAGGTATTCAATAGAAATTATTTTTATATACAGAAGAAAAAGTGTTGTTTCATATTGTTGCTGCTCTCTTTAAAAGATAGTCTAGGAAGGAAAAATGTGATCAGTTTAAAAAAAAACTATTATCTCACAATCAGTTGCTATTTAATAAATTAAATTTGCTACAGCAATAAAAAGAATTGGGGTTTTCTTGTGCTAGGGTAACCTTTATGGGAACCTAACTGATTTTTCAGTTGTTTAGCAATACTAGGTTTTATAATGACATCCTTCTCCTTGAGTCTGATTACATTATAAGGGAAATAAAAATAAGAAAAAATTGTACATCAGAAAAAGATTTTAGATTTTTATTTCTTTCCAGCAGCATTTGCTCTCGCTGTGTATTTTGCAGAGTGTTTATCAAATCTTCATAAATTACTGTTTAAAAAAAATTCAGAGTGCAACTGTTTTCTGTAAGGACAATTTTTGTTGTCCTGTCTCAGTCCAGAAAGCAAAAATTTTTTTCTTCCTCTGCTTTCCAGTTCCAATCTAGCAATTGGAACCACAGAGTTGATCCCTTGGGATTGTGCCAAGGCCCATTGACTTGATGGCATCAGTGTGTGGGTGTAAACATTCATCTGTGCAAATCCATTTGCAAAATTAGGGTTAATGTGCCTTTAGTGTTGGACCTTTTTACCTCATCTTTTCAATAGAGCTGAAGAAAATGTGACTAATTTAGGTATATTACTGGTAAAACTGCAAACAAGTTAATTTTTTTGGTGTGTATCATCCATGATGCTAGCAGAACTGCCTAGAACAAATTAAAAACCCTTGATAAATAAACATAGATGTTAAGGCATTTTTTGTTCACAGAATTCCAGGAGTTAAATCACACAAGATGCTGTATTATCCAGCACCAAACACTGAAACCTGCAGGTAGCTTCAGCTAGGAAATGAGAACCCTAGCACAAAAGAAATTCTGGAAATCAAATTCTCCCTTCTTAAAATAAGAAATGTCACAATTTTCTGAGAGTGTGTGAATGCTTTATAGTACCTGAGTCACATGCACAAAGCAAAACACATCCCATGTGATGGCTGATTAACCCTGCAGTTTGCCTGAGTACTCCACTATTGACGTTTTTAAATGTCAGCCAGTCAAATAGGTTAGTATAAGCCAGAGAAGCATAGAGGCTGCACTGGAACACTGAGCAAAAACTCTGTTTGTTTTATGAGGAAGAATAATGCATGTATCAGCCTGTTTTCTTTGTCCTGGAACACTCTTCCCACTGCTAGCATATTACTGTCATAGTTACTGATTTACTGATTCTCTCTATTTGTGTTGTTTGAATTAATCCTAAACCATTTGCTGCTTTTTATGGACTGCATCTCCACTCTTTTGTTCAGCTGCAGGCTGCTGAGAATGAGAAGGTGAGGTGGGAATTGGAGAAGACCCAACTCCAGCAGAACATTGAGGAGAATAAGGAAAGGATGATGAAATTAGAGAGTTATTGGATTGAGGCACAAACCCTGTGTCACACAGTGAATGAGCACCTCAAGGAGACGCAAAGCCAGTATCAGGCTCTGGAGAAGAAATATAACAAGGCAAAGAAATTAATCAAGGATTTTCAGCAAAAGTAAGCAGCTACACCAGGCTCAGAAAATGACTTAGTGTCCAGATAGAAAACATGTATGTGATATATTTTGAAATATGAAACCCACTGTTAAACACCTGTAAGGTAAAGACTATTTTCCGCTTTTTTTATTCATGAAAAGCATGGACTCTTTATTATGGAAAAATGCTAATACTAAGCTGTAGTCATACTGTACCTAAATAAAGATTTTGTCTGTAATATTCCAGGTTGGTATATTTCAGAATTAGGAGATAGCTCGATGTAATTGCAAACAACTAAGAATAATCACAGTAAAGCGTTTGATAGGCAAAGTTTGCAGCAATTTATATGGGTATTGTATCAGCTGGATTCATTCCTGCTGTGTACTAATGTAACATCAAAAATAATATTGTTTTATTACATTTTACATTTTATTTTTCTTCTTCTTGTAGATGCCAAGAATGTTTGAGCTGAGTTGAGCTAACTGATGATTTCCTGGCCCCCTCTGTTTCATGTGGTCCCCTCTCCCTGGTGGCTAGCAAGAATAATAACATCTTATATTTCTATAAAAGCTTCCATTCCCCA